GGCAACGGCACTGATGACCTTCATGTGAGCTGTGCGAGCTGTAAGAGGTCCATTTTAAACAGAGACCATTATACCAGTGCTGGACTTTTCAGCAAGAAATGTGGATTGCACAAGTAGTATTGGATGTGATGGATTTGGTCCAATGCTTAGTTACAGACACTTGGGAGTTTCGGTTAGACTTCCTGGAAAAGCTGCAGGGTTCTACATTCCTCATTGCTGCAAAACACCTCCTAACACTCCCAAGGATGTAAGTGGTCTAGGGTTAAGCCAGAACTATAAGTTATCTCGCTGTTTGAGAAGCTGAAGCAATTTTACATTTTAGTTGGCTGAAAATTTTCGAAATTCTACATTTGTCACCAAACTCAACCATGGAACCATCACACAACAGACATAATTTCACACTTTGTTTAAAATTGTAGGCACTTTTGGAAAAATGAGAAATTTACAAATCAAATGTGTCTTATTTGAAATACGGGTAATCCAGCAATTTGGGGTCCATTTTTGGTGTCCCTGTCACATCTGACGTATGATTTTGTGAGTTCAGAACACATTTTCTAATTTTCAAGAGTGATGAATCAATGCAAATNNNCGTCCCACTTTCGGACCCCTAATTTCTGTAATTACCGTACATATATATTGTCAGCATTTTGACAACAGATGCATATGTCTTTTCAAGCACCACAACAGGAACGGACCCAATGTGTGACAGGACTAACAATTTCAGTGTTAAAAAAAACAAAATTATAAATCAAGAACAACAGAATGCACACAATCATAAACAGGTTGTGTCACAGAGAGACAACCGAATCCACAAAATATAAAGTTTACAAGCAGACTGCACTAACAGCAAATCTTTCTGAGAAGAAGCAGGAAATCTAGTCTGCAATTAAATACACGTCGGTAAATACACGTACACATCAAAGGGCTGAACAGGAGGAAACAGATGGGCAATGTTACACAATAGCATTTCTGTATTTTTCTGCCTCTGAAATACAGCTATATCCAAAAGATCTGGGCCCAATTTCATGGAGCCCAGTTTCATGTTTAACAGTCGGCAGAAAAGTTGTACTTCCTATAGTAGAATATTTTGCTTACCGTAAACACGATTTCATGGCTTTGCGTAGTGTGTTTGTGTTTACCCATGCGTGTGCACATAGAGATTTCCATTACTACATCGCTGGGCTAAACAAAGTTTCCCTCCTAGGTAAGTGTACCTTTTGCTGTGTTTACTGCATTCGGCCTCTATGAAGTACGCGGCGCCATGAAAATGGGTCCTGGCTGCAGCCAGGAGTGACACACATGTAAGTGGGAGTTGGCATTAGCCACTTGGCATTGACCTCCATTGACACACATGCTGTTTCCAGCTGTAGCCAGGACTTCTGGCCAGGGTCTACTTTGCATCAGGGGCTGATGTTCAGTCAAGAATAGAGTCCTCTCAAGAAGGTCTAATGGTCAGAGCATACTAACCTATTTCTCGCTTCCGTTGATTAACTGTTGCTAGGGAGAAGAACTCATTCATCAGGCTCTCCAAAGCTCGGAGGGACGACTCATTCGAGGCCTAAAGAAACAAACCAAAATGTCTTGGACTTAGAAATAATGTAACATCTGAAAAGCATGAACAAAACTGACACCACGTGACCACAGGAGAGTATGATCTGAAAGTAGGCCTACACACTTTCTTTGTCAGATAGTTTTGGTCTCGTGGAAGGAGTTCCATACATGGACATCACTCAACACCATGTGCACAAACCTATGGGACTGGCCTGAAAAATTCTCCATTTTTAAGTAACTGCTTCAATATTTCCTTGCTAAATTTGACTTTTTAGGACATGTTACCACTTTCCGATTGCTAGTAAATCACTGCAAGGGAAACTTAGCGATGTCCATATATACTCAGTTCCTATATTGTTGTAGTAACTCTATTACTGCAGTTTCAGAAATTTTTAATTTTGCCTTGCTAGTAAGTTCCCAATTGGCAATATTTACCAAGGTAATCAATAAATAATGGCCTGAGGATACAATTTATTAAAACAGAATGACAAATTCTGCATGTTTCCATAAGTTTTGATTACTTGAAATTTTTCAATTAATTTGAAAATTTTCCTTTACCATGTCAGTCATTACCTACCATCTATCTCTTTAACAATTATTTTTAACGCTGCCCTACCCTTGGATATCCATGGTTTGGTTCACATATGTCACTTCCGAAATGGTCAAAGGCATCTAAAGACATATTTTTACTGCGAAAATGTCTGGGGGTCAAAATAAGGGCTTCTTGCTGAAAGACTTTAAAAAGACTTTAAAAGACATTAAAATAGCCTTGTATTGATTATACTTTTTTTACGTCGGCATTAATGTCTCAGATTTTTTGCTTATCTAATACAGCTTCAATATTTTTGCAAGGGATATTTAGAATTTCGAACATTAATTTTGAACAAATTAAGACTGGGGTAAAAAAGTTCTGATGAAACAAATGAAGTCATTCCTTGCGGGATTAATAAGTGTAAGGTGATGCAATGCAACTGTCCCCATCGCTCGGCGTTGGGCATCTTTATGGAGGAGACTTGACAAATGGAGTCAATTACAGGTAAAATGGAACATTATCACAAAATGAGGTTATTTTGTTTCCTCTGAAAACTAAATCATTCTGTTTATCTTTATTCATTCATAAACAAAGTGCTTTAAAGGTTATCGTAGAAACCATTCTTCAATACCGCAATAGTAGAGATTCCACTTCCGGCTGCACACATGTATGGTGCGCACACTGATTTCCTGAGCAACCACTAACAAACTTTTATGAATCAAGTTAAAAAGTAAGAGTTAAACAACAGCAAGGATGGGATAATTCAGGGAGGCGAGCAGGCAATCTTTATTTCAATCGGGAAATGTGATAACTACTGCGATAAGAGTAACTAAACATCCTATAGTAATGACACAAATCTTTATCCAATCAAACTTTATCCAATTTCAGGATGAATTCAAGCCTGCTGCTAGGAGATGCTCATAAAGGCAGCTATTCCTTTGGCATGGCCATGAACATGGCTGACCATTCTGACTGCACCGACTTGGGCCAGAGAGCTAAAATCTATATCATGATGTATGTACATGGAGTGCTCTGCCATTTTACTCCGTATTAATTTCGTTCACTTTTATTTTTAACAAGATTGATATCGTTTTTATCATAGGCCCTAAATACTAAAATAATGGAACTATGGAATGATCTAACCTTAGCAATCTTGTCAAACCCCACCCACCACCTACGCCCACCCTTAATGCCATTCATTAGCATTACTTCAACCTTCCTGCATTCCCAACATTGTGCGTGCCAACCTGTCCGTATATTGTACCTGCCCGCTTCAAGCTCGCATATGCCATCCAGTTCCGTGTCAAAATCTTACCATCTTCCGGTATCGTTTAACGGCGACTCTCCGTCTGTCTGGGCACTGTACGTCTGTGAATGCGTTGCTTTAGCCTTCAAAGACCTTTTGCGACTTTCAAACCAAAATTTGGTGGTTCTACGGGCAAATTCTCAGCTCATTTTGCCAGGTTTGCTGCTGACTTCTTCGCAACCAACGTGTGATGCAACGTAGTGCGCATGACCATGTAGACCGCCCTCCGCCGTTTTTTTTGAGTACTTGCTCGATGCGTGGATCGCTCGTGCGAATGTGGAATCACGTGCCTCAGCTGCGGTCAAGGGCAAGCTAGTGATTGGTCAGTAGTAGTAGAAGTTGCCTTCTACCCAAGCAAATATGGAACAGGATATTCATTAGCCGTGAGAGGTCCTGTTTGATGTGTTTCGCAAGTGTCACTCTTTTGCCACTTATTTCACAGAAAACATTGCAACGGAATAACACGATGACACGAATGTAGATTTCAGAGTATCAACACAATCCTCCAATCTCAAAGATTCGTTTCAGTGCAGTGCACTTTGGAGTGCCCCCCCCATTTGAAATCCTTGAATAATGTCCGTTGTAACGCAGCTGCAAATTATTCTCTTGTTGAGGCCCCCTTGAAAATATCTGTGCACCCCGGGTCCTCCCGGAAATTTAGCATTAGTTACGCCCCTGTTCCGCTGTCTATTTGTTTGCAGACTAAATCAGTAAAGTTTTGTGTGTGTTTTTCATCGAGCACATTCATCCATTCATCTGTATTTGAAAAACAAACAAACAAACAAACAACAAAACTTTACCCACTTGATGACACTTGTCAAGGTGTTGTTTCCAAACCATGCAAACCCCAGAATAGAGTACTTCTCTGTAAGGTGGGGGTGATCAGGGGCGGATCCAGAATTTTTCCGGGGGGTCAGGCCAGAGACTTTTTTAAATCTCTCAGTTTTGCGGCCAAGCGGAAACGACGATGAAACATTTTACGTGCCAATAGTATTGGTGCGCTTTAGTTATTTTATTATTTTTCCCATTTTTTTCTTGTTTGGCTCAGAGCGGGGAGGGGGTACACCCCCAACACCCTCTGGATCCGCACCTGGGGATGGACGAAAAATGCACTTCATTCAACTTAATGATACTTTAGGTACCTACATAATAAAAAATCAAACAGCATGGTAAGGAATAAACGATGCAAAAATCAATTTTGTGAGCAGACGGCGAGAGAACAGTGACGGCTTCCAAGCTCTTTGAAATTGGAATCATAATAACCAAAACATCATCTCAGCGTGAGGTCTAAGTTTTCTCTATCAAACAATACCCAGCCGGTTGATTGGCTGTTTGCCAATTAATCAATAATTTGACTTCGCCGTGGAACAGAAAAGTCGATATTTATCAGCAAATGAGATGACGTCATTTTGAACGGCTTCTTTAATGTCCAAATAATGCTGCCGTGCTGGCAGTTGTTTTTCAAGTATGGTTAGGCTTGAGAAAGGTCGACTGACTGATTGCAAGCGAAATCGCTATCCACTGATATAAGAGAGATTGATTTATGATTCACTATTCTTTTATTATTTAAATTCCAGTAGTTTTTCTCACTAAAATTTACAGAGAGTTTGGCACTCACAGTTCGTGGAACTGCTGTAAGTTATTTTCCAATGAAATTGATGAAGTAACTGATATTTTAAACAATTCGATGGATATTATTAACTGATTAAGTCACATGATCTGCCGACAGTTCAGTTTTTGCAGGCTCCGCCCACAATAGGGACATCATGATCGCCTTCTGGGTACCGTCCTATCACACATAAAAATGGCGTCTACCTTGTTCGAGGAAGATATTGTACAGCGTAGTCATCGCGGCACATTGCAACTTGGTCTTGTCGTACGGAACTACGATGGCTACAGCAGCGTAGACGATTCAGAAGATGAGGAGGAGAGGATCAAGAAAGGTTTTGTCAGGGTGGCCTGGTACCCAAAGGGGAGAGAAAATGTTTTGCCGGAGAAAAAGGTAGGGCCTAGGCCCACCCCCCCATCATGCCCATTATTTATGTACTGATGTAGGCCCTAGCTTGGCCTAGCCCAGGTGGACTCCCTGACCGTTCTACGTTACCTTTACGGAGGGAATCCAGGATATAAACACGATAAAGGGTCTACAATGAGGCGAAATATTTTATAACTAAAACGTTCAACACTTTTTCCTTTTCCAAGGAGCCGGCCAATTTCATGTCTGTAACTCCTGTCAATTTCTACTGGCAGGTACGCCTACGGTGGGTCACGATGTGGGTTAAGATTAGAAATTTGACGCATCACCACTACAGACAGAAACAGAAAAAAATATGAATTCTTTTCATTGTTGTGGACTGTTTTCAGCTGTTCTCCGGTGCATGCATACAGCATTAGTACATTTATATAATATACATGTAGCTCTATCACTCTATGCATGAAGTTTGTACAGTGTGCGTGCACAAGTATTGGGCGTTCAAGATTCTGGGCTGCATACACGTACATGATGTACATAAAGCACGCACAACCACAATGGGGATTGTAAATTTGGGGACCCTGTTCCTATAATTAGAACTCAGAAGGGAGAGCTACATTTTAACTTTTGAATTCACCTTGGTAGATAACTGTGACATCATGTTCAATAACTGCAGGGTTGGTGTTGTCAAAAAGGGCTGGGTTTTGAGTTTTGAGGGAAATTATGAGGGGAAACTGAGAGTGTTTTAACACATGACACATGGTGGATTCAAATTTGCTGTTAGTTTATCAGTAAGGAAGTCACAATGTCTCACAATTTACAATTTGAAATTTCCAAAAAATGAGGTCAATGCAACAAAGAGAGAGTTGCCTTTTTTTTTTAATTACAAATTGGTGTTGGACTTATTCACCTCCCCATAGATTCACGCATGAAATGCATGAATTGTTTGCCCTCTTATCCCATTATGCAAAGAGAATGTCAAATTTAAGGTTTATTACAGAATAACTTAGCCTTTTTTGGTATTTGAATACTCTTGATTTGAAGAAGACGTCATTGTAAATGTTTGTAATAACCTACATATACATACCAACGCTAAAGGGCTCTATCACAATGAACTGCACTGCAGGCATGCTCCTTAGTCGGTCGGTTAGGGGTTGACAAATTATAGGGGCTGATGCTTCAGGCTATTACATCCTGTCAGCAGTCAATCCGACAGGCAACCAGTTTTCAAAACTTGTGCACAAACAGAATGTGAAATAAACTTATTTTCATGACAGTGACCAGTCATAAATGTCTTGCTAATTTTGTCAAAACACAAAAATGGAAGCTTATTAAATCTATGATTAGCCCATGATAGTCGACATTGGTGGTTTGTTGTGGAAGTGTCCCTCTCACAGTGGCAGGTAAATGCAAACATCTACAATGCTTTGAAACCAAAACTAGTATGTGAAGTGGACATGGACCTAATTTGGCCTAGCGACCAAAAAGGAAGATAAAGAATTCAATGGCTACCCTCCATTCTGTCATATTATGTCTCACCTGCCCATGTCTCTGTCAGCGCAGCGAATACATGTAGTTACCTCTCCAGATGGTGGTTGCCCATAATGCATTTTTGTGCCGCGATTATAAAGGTTGAGTGAATTGTTGAAGATCAGGTTGCACATGGTCAGCAAGGTCATGAAGGTGTATTCTGGCAGATTATTACATGTACATCGCTGTGCTCACCAATATCCAGGCCAGTTTTCACAAGTTTAACTGAAGCATCACACTGATGCTAGAGTGTAGGTCATGTGAAATGTAACAGCACATGATCAGGTCCATCAGCAAGAATTTTTCAGTGTGGTTTGAGTTTCAATGTTTCTGCAAATGATTCTTATATGAGCCAAAGCGGGAAGAAACAATATGATGACATTGTTTGCATGCTTGCTCTTCTTTGGAAGTACGTTATGCGGTGATGAGGACGTTCGTCATTCATGTACTTCTGATTCATTCTTTGCAGGTAAGCCTGTACGATCGCTCGCTAATGCCAGGCGATGCTGTAAGACGTGACCAGGAGGGCTCACAGCGAGGGATCGTTCGCTCCGTTCACGTGTCTTGCCATCTTCAGGTTGTACGCACTAAACAAATGATCTACGATGTGTGCAGCCAGGACCTTGAGAATATAATGGTCAGTGTCTCCAATACCTCAGAAACTGGTTTTTTTTTTTGAAAAACAATAATAAAGATGTGTCAATTAACAAAAGAAAACAAAAACCTTTAACCCTACCTCCCGTGTGACCTTTTTGCTAGGCACGCTCCTCAATCCTTCAAAATCCACTGATTATCTATGCAAAAAATGGCACCCGGCCTCAATCCTCCTAAATCCATCCATATTTCATGCAAATGCTCCTTTAAGGGCTGCCTACTTCCTCAATCTTTCAAAATCTTCTGGCAGTTCCTGCCATTGTGTAGGGGCAGTGTGAATAGTATCCGTGACCACTATGAAGGATTTCACATATGATGTACACGTAGGCATGAATTTGTGCATGGCCCAGCAAAAACAACACAAGGTCTAACCCACAACCTTGACGCATTGCGTCCTTTGCAATCAGCCACATTGTTTTGGCATTCTTCCTCAATCCTCAAAAACCACCCAGAGGATTTTGGGAGGAGGGTTAGGGTTTTAGAGAACCGGAAAGGAGCACAAACTTACTCCTTCATTAAATAAAAGTAATTGTTATATTGCGATACAAATATATGAAGTACTTGATATGTTTTCAGTCCCACTCTTTATGTACATATAATGTAATTTATTGTTATTTTTTTTTGTTCCATGTGTAGATGTATACACCTGGGTGCCATGTCGTCATGGGGTCTTGGATTGGAGTAGTTAGAAATATCTATGTGGAGCTAATCGTGCGGCTTAAAAATGGAGCCAGGTAACGGTTATTCTGATGGTGGTTTTTACCTATTCTTTGGTATATTCTGGTGTTGGAAAACTCGGTTACAGTATTTTGACCCTAAGACATAATGCACCTAGCATATACTTGCTTCTAGATCGGTTATGTCCTCTGTGCATTTACAAGACATGGAGTGATTTTGACTCAGCAAAAGTGTCCCTTTGGGGCGACGTACCCTGCAACTGTTGAGGCTTTCACACACACATGGCACAGAGAACGCACCACCATGTGCCCACTTAAAATAAGTCCACCCCACTGGTCTCTCTCCTTGCTGCAGGTGAAGGATGACTTTTTGCAGGGAGTGGATACCATGTTGCAGAGGTCCTTTTAAATCAGTTAAGACATTGGCTGACATGGTGTCCATACTTCTACAGGATAGATTTTACAAATCAGAAAACTGTATGAAGTGTTATACAGGGTTACACAGTGGGAGACATTTGTAGTCTGCACATTGCGGGAAGTCTTGAACAATCTTAGGAAGGTAGCACGAATGTTCCATTTGTTGTGCCATATTTCTGCAGGTGTACCCTCTCCGATGACAGCGCCTGCAGATTGACTGATATCCATGACACGGATGACGATGTAAGGCCAATGTTTAGTCAAATGTTATATCCTCACCTTATTCAGTATGTTGATTCTTAAGCAATGAGTGCACTTGTCAATCACCAAGTTCACCGCAGCAAAGCTTTCCTCACTTTTCATCTTCAGGCGACACGTTGGAAAATTTGATTTTGTTGTCAGTCCTAGCACAACTTCATCCCCTACATTTTGAGGGAAAAAAAGGACTAAGCTTTACCCAGGACCCTGAGGAAGATAGTCCACCCAGACTTACGTTGAAATGTTCTCCCCTTTCATTGAAGGCTTCTGTATTCAGCTGCGACAGCTTCTACCCTGGTCAGGTCCTGCGAGGTCCAGCCACAACTTTCAAGAACACAGCATGGCTCAGCGGGCAGCAGCCCATACTTGGCAGCAAAGCTAACTTCACCGTTACCGTGGAAGAGGTGACACATTTTGAATAGCATTTTCAACGGTGTGGTCTCGCACGCTTATAGCGACACTGAATGAATACAAAAATCTACCAACGTAGTCTGTATGATAACCATTTTTCTTCTTTCAGTAACTGTTGTTTAAGCTGAGCATCTTTCTCTGGAACTGTCTGTCTGGTTTTTTTTCTCGGCAACAGGTTAATGTTGTGGAGCTTGAGGTTCACTGGCAGACTAGGGGTCTCTGCAGATATCCTGCTGGAGACTGCACTGATTCCAATCAGCTGCAGCCACCTCCAAGAAGAGTCTCAAAGGACATACTTCCAAGGTACAGTACAGTGGGGTTTTTTTGGGGGGGGGTAGTATACCAGTGAACTGAGTTGTAGCTACGCTGGCTGCGGCAGATGTGGTCGCCCAGCTCTCATAGTCCCTGCCCGGCACTCCGGGTAATTTTTAGCCTGACCGCCTGGCACGTATTTCATTCCCTGAAATGGTAAACTTTCTACAAAATCTCAAAATTTCTCATGTACTTGTATGTTCCTATCTTTAGCAATTATAAGATATTTCTGTTTAATTCCTTGTTTTAAAACTGCAAAAACACTGAAGTAAGCTTAAAATTATGAACCAATCCAGGCCTTGAAATGAACAACGGCAGCCATATGACCACATATCCCAACACATGAGGCCGGCTTCCCATGCAGTTATTCCCTGTCCTGTACAAATACGTATACATGATGCATGTAGTGTGTACACATATGAATGAACAAATAAACAAAAGCTCAGCTCCGATGTGCGCCAGTACTTCAAGCAGTAACACCCCCGCTGCGCAAATAAATGTCTGTGGTCATGCAATCACATTCCAGCCGGAGTAGGTACAGCAGATTGACGCGTAGTATCAACTGACTTCCTCTTTCTCAGAACTTGTATGCGTGGTACACAATTCACTTTGAAGTCTGTGTACGAGGCAAATGATGATCATAATATGCATGCGCATGCTCATGTTTTCGCACAGATTGTCGAAACGTTTTCGACAAATGGATCTGCCTTCGCCTGCTCAAAGGTCTAAAAATATTTTTTGTTTTGACAGGACAGTGTTTTGACAGCTAGACAGCGTACGCAGATAAATCAATCTAGAATTATGGCACAAAAAAACTATACTGTTATATACTGTTATTAAAATTATTATACTGTTAAAAAAATACTAGAAAATTGTTGTTTAATCCTGTGTTAATTTTTATTTATTCATAATTCCATGCTTTACAAACACAAATTACACTTTATAACATGCCTCAAAAACCTGATTTCCCCCCTGAAAAACCCAAGTATTGTGGAGCTTTAGAAGGGCTCTGCCCCCTCGACCCCCACTGGGGCATTGCCCCTGGAGCCCACCAGGAGCTCTTGAACAGGCCCCTGGACCCCTGGCCATGATCCGTAAGAGCTCCTCGCGCTGTGATTTGCCAAAATATTACCCGATATTAAATTTGGCCTGGTGGCAACCCTGCCTGTGAATGATACTCAAAAGCCCAGAATCAGATATTGTTTTTGTTTTGAATTCCTTTTTGGACCATCTAGATCTATTTGTATGTTTGTAGTCTCTGTTTTCCAATTTCATATTTCCCCTAGAGTCAGACCGCTGTCATACTTCATTGCTGCCAGTATACAAATTGGCGACAAAGTAATGTACAAAGTCAGGCCGGGAGATCTAGCTTATCCTAAAGCAGTGCCTCGCGGCAGCTTGGATTGTTATGTCCAACCATCCAAGGGGGAAGGTAGTGGGGCATCAACTGCTGTCAAGGGTGCCGAGTGTGGCCTGGAGGCCCTGACATCACAGGGAAATGCAAACGAGGAGCCGAAACAGAGACCTGAACTTGCCCAGAAGGATAGCAGCGAAGGGAGTGTTGATTTGAAATTGACTACCAGTACAGGAACCGGATGTGTGGAAAACCCGGATCAGTGCATGCACGGTTTATTAACTACACAAGCTGATAGGCCTGAGGAGAACCCATCAGGCCAGTGCATGGCAGGAAGTATATCAGGGTCTAAAGGCACAGCCTCTGCCGTGCAAGAATCCCAATCCGCGGAAGGAGGAGCCTCAGAAGATTCACTAGGAGCTTTTGCAGCAACTCCAGGAGAAGCACAAGCTGCTTCATTTGAGCCGAAGGGAATCCTCAGATTGCAGGATGGCTTTGCTTCTAATCAGTCCAAACTGGATAAGAAAGCAGCAAAAGGTGATCTGGATAAGCAAAAGCCTTCAGAATCCACAGCAGAGGGTAAGGATGAGCTGCTGGCCAGGGCCGAGGAGCTGAAGGTGGGTCTGTCCAGGGATGTGGACCTCCTCGGGGAGCTGCATCGAGAGCTTTGCGATGCCTCCGACAGCGTCACAGACATTGCAAGAAACTTCCGGACGCTGCTGCAACGCGCCACCAATGAGTCCGCCCGAGAGATCAGTGGACAGGTTGCACGTCTCCTTGAGTCGCAGGGGAAACTCCAGCAGCAGATCCTGATGACGGAGGGCCTTCTTGTGGACAGCAAGAAGAGCCTCAAGGAGCTGGATGAAATCGAGATGGAGACCCGGGGCGCCACCGCATCTGGGAAAACTGCTGTCGGCAAAAGCCTCAGGAAGGTCAGGGCACTGTCTGCCAAGAACAGAGGTAGGAGAAAATTGGATGATGATAGAGATTCAGATCAGTCCTCGGAAGATCGCGAGGAGGAGGAGGATTCCTCGGACGGGCTGGATGACAGTGATGACACAGACTCCAATGCCTCATCGAAAGGAGAGAGTCGACGATACAAGGTAGTGTCCAGCCTCCTCCACCGACACACCAGGAAGCAGCATAAACGCCTGGCTTCCAAACGCCGACCACCTCCTAAGCCCCTAGAGATTGGTGAACGAGTGTGTGTCGAAGTCACCCACACTAGAACTTTGGTAGATGTCATGTGGCAGGTAAGATGGGCTCACTTCAAAGTTTTGTCTTTTACTCCTCAATACACCAACCAAGCTTCAAGTTCTGTTTCTAAACGCATCTTTTGTCAGGATATCGGTGAATAACACAAAATGTGCTTGTGTACAGAATGTGAACATTTGTTTGGCAACCAGTTGCACTCACTGCATGATTCTTGCTGTGTCAGGTTACCCATCAAAGTGCCCCCAGCTGTTTTTTTCCCTCCCTCATGTAAATGCTTGATGCAGTGTGATTGAAGAGAGTTCAGTGCACGTTATTGGTGATTCTCATGTCCTTCCAGGATGGTACATTACAAAAGGGAGTGGTGTCCACAGACCTTTTTCCTGACCACCAGCTGGACGAGCTTGAGTTCTTTCCTGGAGACTTTGTCACCAAGAATAATGGTAAAGTTTTTTGCCCCGTACTTTTAGTGTTGATCGGTTTATGATTGATTCAGTACACAGCAATGCAAAACATCAGTTAACCGTTACAGTTTGGGTGTACATCTAGGTGAATATATAGGTTGTAATGATAATTGTACAGTGAAAACAAGATGGGTTAATTCTCAAGGAAAGTCACAAAATCTGCCCTAAAATTTACAAAAACATCACTTGCATGTTTATCATTCAGTTTGAAGTCCTTTTTGTCTCTAGGAAACAAATGTTCTTGATCAAGGTCAGACATTCCACCAGTGGTATAAAAATGAGTTATTTTCTGGGCTATGTATAACCAAGCACAGGTTGTTCATTAAACCTAATGAAGTGGACTCTTTTTCCAAACAAGGGGAGTGAGACAGCTTATTTCTTTCTGGACTTGTTTTGGTTTCAGAGGATCTTGAGAATGTCTATGGTCTGGTCTGCAAGACAGACCACAAGGAGAGAACGTGTCTAGTCCAGTGGATCATGAGGCCAAACCAACAGTGCAATGTGTAAGTTTTAACACCAGATCATAAAGGCCCATTTCTGTCACAAAGCCGTAAGTCTGTAGCAGAGTTGGAGTATATATCTTGAGAAACCGGCTTTGTTATCTTGGAATCTGTTGAATATAGCTGGACTGTAGTATGTAATTTAGCCTGTTGTAGCATTATGGTGTTTTCTTGTGGTTTCAGACCCACACCAGTCAACTCGGAGGAGGTGAGTGTCTATGAGCTGACACCCCACCCAGACTTCACCTTCAACGTGGGGGACGTGATCGTGAGGATAGCCGACAGCAGGCACGGGATTGCAGCCCTGAAGAAAGGAAAGCCCGACCCTAGAGGAGTCCACCCATGTACCCAGGTGGGTGACTCTGACACCCAGAGAGGCAATGGTGCACCCCATCTTACCCGAGCTAGTGCCAATACTGCTGAGCTGGGTACCCAGACAGACAACCATTTACTCGGAGGGAATCAGGCTGGGACCCATGCCATTGAATCAGACACCCAAGTGGGTCACTCTGATGCCCGGATGGGTAATCACATTACCCAAGAGGGTAATGCTAGCAGCAACATTGATGTCTCTGGTAACAAGTCGTGTAATTCTGATGCTCAGATCACTACACCAGGCGATCAGTTGAGACCCAGCGATACTACAATAAACAACCGCGATGTCCCATTTTGTAGTCCAGATGGTATTCAGGCCAGCAGCAAGATTGACAGCCCAAAAGAGGAGAACCAGCATACAGAAACAACACTCTCACACGCCGGTGTAAAAGAACCACAGATCAACTCCTTTGCACCAGACCATATAGAGGAAGGATGCCCTGTAGAGCAGGTGTTTCAAACTGATGAATGTGGATCAACTCGAGGAGGGACCCACGATTCTGACGATGCAGGAATGGCCAATGTCCATCGCATGAATTTGGCTAATTTGGAAAACTTTAATGCAGAGGCGTCGAAAGAAGACAGCATTTCCTCCTCGAAGGTTGAGAATTGCCAGGCTACTCAGGAAGCAGCAGTACCTTGTGCTGGGCAGGTAGCATCTACTTTTCTTCCTTGCTATCTTTTTTTCATTGACATTACAAGCATTATATCATCCTGAAGCCTGTTCCTGCATTGACTTTCCGGGGGCTTTACTTTGTCCTAGTTTCAGTCATTCTTTGTGGCAGTTGTTACTTGACAAAACCTATTAAAAAGTGTAAATTAGAAAACAAGCACCCAAGAAAACCAATACAAAGAAACATTCATCCTCAGATTAAATGAAGTTGCTAATGATACATTACCTCTATTTACCATTTTCCAAATGAAAAGTTCAGAAGTCGGCATCTTTTCAAAACAATACCCAGCACCAGCAGTGTCTATAGGAACCCGCTTTCTGTTCTTTCACCAATAATACACTCTCACAGCTTACTAAATGTTTCTAGGTCTTGGTTGGTAGATATCTCCACATGATGAAAGCAACAGATTATAACCCCTAGAGAGGGTAACCTTAACACAGGGCATCATTTGCAGTTCAACCTCAGTCCTCCACAGTCCTCCACAACCACCCGGAGGATTCTGGAGGATTGAGGAAGGTATGGATTTCTCAGGTGCGCTGGATTAGTACCAATGGAGAGATTCACGTTGCGTGGGTGGATGGCTCCGAGTGCAGTGTGCTGCCACAGGATCTGTACAAATTGGAGGAGGTGAGGAGAATATTATGAGGTACTATCGCAAAATCGGACTCTAAAGTACATGTACAAGCATCTACATTTAGGTGGTTGTAAATGCCCATGAAACTTCTATATTCACAAATACAGCGAAACGAGCAACTTTTTTCTGTAATCGACAGATTTCCCCAGTGCTTCCTCTTAACACTGAGTGACATGGATTTACACTAAAACTTCAAGGTTAATAGAAACTGGCACAGGAACTGAAAAAAAAGCAGAAAAATTACTGCTTTAAATTTCTTCCCCCATTGACTGTGTGCACTTGAGTAGTGCCTCAGAAGATTGATTCTTTCTATGGATGCGATGTTGTGCAAACTTGGTTCTGGTGTTTGTTTTCCATGTAAAAGGACAGCGACACCGATTGGTCAGATAATGATGCGGGAGATGACGACTGGAAGGATGAAGACCAGTTAGTAGACTCCTCGAATTCCACCTCAAGCAGCTGGGAGACGGCCAGTGATGCCTCCGATATTGCCGAAGAGACAAACGTCATCAGGTATCTGCATGTCATTTCGTAAAGACTGCTCCTCTGGAGTGGTATTAAAACCTCGATATCTGCTTGACTAAGACCTACAGGTGATGTTCATCAGACTGTTGACCTGGTCAGTCATTGTACTGGTGGTGGGTTCGAGTCCAGTCAGTGGGAATGTAGTGAGACCAAAGCAAGAGACTTTACCCATACTTGCTTTACAAATGGTTGCTTACCATTGTACATTGTATAAATTGTAGATCTAATGAAGGCAAGTGTGTTTTGTTGAGATAATGTAAAAAGTCCAAACATTTATGCAAATAAATACGACAGTAATTGCCTTACGGTTTGTTCCACAGTGAATCTTTACCAATTACAGAAGGCAAACAGTCAGTGTAAAGTTTTTGAGAAACCTGTTTTCAAATGAACTGTGTTCATGAGACAGACGCAATTTGTTGCTATTCTATCTTATTCCCAGTCCACCCCCACATCAGCAAAACGCCAGCTCATCACCAAGAAGCCCGGACAGGGACGCTACCCCATCAGAGGCGGGAGATCTTGAGGGGCTCCCCGAGAACCTGGATGAGGCGACATTCGAGCAGACCTTCTCTGCGCTGAGCCTGGTGGAGGACAAGATGAGACGGATCAACTCCTGTGCCAACTCCATCCTGGAGAAGCGGACAAATTCCTTGCAGCTCGACCCGGATGGTAATGCGGGGAGAGACAAGGAGGTGCCCGAAGGAGACATTAAGGAGGAGGTCACTGCTGTAAAAGCAAACAGTGTCGAAAGTGAGGCTACCAGTGAAAGCACAGGTACTGGTGAGCCATGCATTCCATCAGATACCCCAGCATCGTCTGAACCAGGCAAACTCGGCGACAGCTCAGGAAGAGAAATTGCAGAGGCGGCCGCTCCTGCCATGTCATCATCTGCAGAGAATACTGTGGAAGGAGAAATGGAAAACCGCTCTGAAGATGAAGTGGGTCAAGGGGAAGGAAACAGTGACAACCAAGAAACTTGCCAAAAGTTGCCAACAGAGGGGGCTGCTCCTACCGCCACTGGACAAGCTTGCGATAGTAAGTCCTGAATGGACTGATATTGTTACTGAATGACCTCACCCGTACCGATCAGATTCGGTTTTTTGTGTGTGTGCAGAAACATTGCTTTAAGAAAATCAACTTTACAAATTTAAATACTGTCGTGTGATGTGCCTATTTTCTTAAACTTACCCCAGGAAAATCAAATACATCAATATTGCCGCTCTCCTGCATCACACACAGACATCTCATCACAAAATTAGTAACAAACCGTACATTTCTGACGATTTTACTTGCCAGATTTCTTTCTTATGGAGGAGGTTCCGGAGACCCATCACTTCAACATGCCCAGTGTGGCTTTCTCGCCCGAGGATCCTAAACAGTTTTCGCTGACAATGAGGAGAGAGGTAAAGGCAGCATTCCTAGATAACATCAAGTCTTTTTGCAGTCCTCCCAGTGGACAGTTGACAGGGTTTTTTTTCTCTCTTCACAACTAGTTGCGGCTTACCGTAGCGAATAATTATTTTGAGCAGCTCGGATTTCTTGTAGATGTTCTCCAGAACCAAACTAAACGTCTGGCGCCTGCTTGTGGTATCACAGAAATTCCCTGGAAGCAGCTTGCAAGTCAAGTACAGTTTTATGGGTAATTTCAGAAATGAGGGGTCCATTGTCTCTTCGTGTCCCAGTCACATCTGACATATGATTTGGTAAGTTCAGAACACATGTTACGATGTTCTAACTTCCAAGGGTGATGTATTAATTACATCAAACAAATAGTAATACATGTAGTTTGAAATCAATTCCAGTGACATTTCCATGTCCAATAACAAAGGTAAGATGTAACAGGGACAAAAAAAGTCACACTTTTAGACCCCTCGTTTCTGAAATGACCCTTATGGGAAAATGGATCTGAAAAGGAAGATGTCCATGGGTAATCAAGTTCAGGAACAGTGGGTTTAAATTTTATCTTGGAAGGCCATTTCCCACAAGGAAGTCTTTGGTCAGCTCGTATTATTGTTATTATTATTTCTGGTAATGACACCAAGGATCCTCAAAAGTGCCTTAGGCACTGTTGCTCATAAGCCTGAAGAAACCTGTAGACAGAAGACATTGAGAAGTAGCCACAGTTTTAAAGGTAGGAGGAAACCCCCAGAGGAATATTCTGAGTAAAACCCACAGAACCAGGTAGGGACTGAAAGCCCAATCCACATGTGGACGGAGGCAGAATTCGAACCCGGACTGCAGAGGAGGAAGGCGAGGAAACAACCACTTTGCCATCCTGACTTTCCCAATATCTCTTTTTTTTTCTTTACAAATCTGCTTTGGACCCACAATTTAAACAATTTTTAGTCATTTTCCTCTGTTGCCTTCCTTATTTTGCTGTAGATGCGTTTGCTGCAGACATCTCTTCCACAGGGTATCAGAGTCAAGGGCTTTGCCGACAGAATGGTAAGTGAAGGCTTTCACACCAGTTTGCCTTCTTCATCTCGGAACTGACCGATCAACATCCATTCTTCCTTGAGAGCAAAATGAAAAGACGTTAAACGTGCTAAAGATGATTCTGGGATGATGAAATTTCCTCTTGGAGTTGCCATTCTGTTATTTTTTCCCCACACGTTTCCCAGGATCTGTTCTCTGTGCTGTTTGAGGGGCCCAGTAACACACCGTACGAGGACGGCCTGTTTTTCTTTGACGCCCACCTCCCCCCGGACTACCCTAAATCCCCACCCGTCATGCACTACCACGCCTACTGCAGTGGTCGACTCAACCCGAACCTCTACAATGATGGCAAGGTTTGCGTCAGTCTTCTGGGCACCTGGACAGGCAAGGTGAGAATCATAGATTGTGCCTGGCTCATGATAGGAGGGTCGGGGGGTTCAAATTTGGTTGCTGGCTGTGTGACGTGTCCATGAGCAAGCCACTTTACCCACATTTGCCCTTGACTTCACAGCAGCAGTGGACTGGCATCCCGTCCAGAGGGTAACTTATTCTCAGTTATTTCCCACCAAACAAACTGGAGATAAACACTGAACAAACATACAATTCAGAACAAACTTTTCAAAAATGCTCCTCAGGCCATTTTTGACAGGTCATTTCTGTCCAATGACATTCAAGAGGTTGATAACACCATTGCCTGAATCCAACAGTATATCTTGATAGGTGATTTTCTGTGTATCATTCTGTTTTTGTGAAACGTACTGTGAACAATTTGACTAACAAGTGGCATTACATTATCCCTCTTAATAGGCAGACAAGAATGGCCAAGTTTTAAAGTTAAAACAACGGTAACACTTTCTTGTGGTCTTAACTTCAGCTACCTAGTTCTTACCTTGGTACTCGTAATACAAGTTGCCTTAGTCCTTTTTACCTCTGACCCCAAGGGAAGTGAGATGTGGACTAGCAAATCCAACCTGCTGCAAGTGCTAGTCTCCATTCAAGGCTTGATCTTGGTCAGCGAGCCATACTACAATGAGGCAGGTTATGAGAAGCACCGTGGGACGCAGCCTGGAAAGGAGAACAGCAGACTGTACAATGAGACAGCTGTACTGAAGATGGTTCAGGTAATAATGTCCTTTATTTTTTCAGTCACTAACGTTTTTCCAGGTTCTTTTTTTTTTCATTGATGTATTGAAATGTTTTGATTTGTGGTTTTGCTTTCTCTTTGTAACAATAACTTATTGATTACACTGTATTTTTTGGTAATTTATTTTTGATTTATCTATCAGTTTGATGCAGTGAGGATATTTTTCATTTTCATTGCAGTCAATGACACTTATGCTGACCAATCCCCCTGATGTATTCCATGAAGAGACAGTAGACTTTTGTCACAATCATGGCTTCAGGTATGTAAACCTTTTTAATGTGGGATTCTCCCTTGAAATTGTGCCTGACCTTTGGCTCATTTCAGTTAGTTGCGCATTGGAGTTGCAGGACAGAAGTCTAGGGTTAGAGTCCAGGTTTAGTCAGAGTTCTCCCTTTCCTTTTTAAGGACTGGTGAACAGTTTATGAATAGATTGTTCATGTGATTCATGCACAGGTTGATCAAGCGGATTGAACACTGGCTTGCAATTAGTAGTGTGTCTCCAGAGAGTGGGGAACCAGGGAAAGGGCACCAGGACATGCCTCGCACTCCTGCCTTCACCCTTCTACCACTCTCCAAAGGCTTCATACTCAGCATGAGGCAGGCCCTACGAGCTTACCGTGCAGCATTGGGTGTAGCTGGGATACCTGACAACTGAGAGGCTGACATATGCTACCTTGTGTCCCTAGAGTTATGTAATGCTGTAAGCTGTATTGGTTTGAACCATGCTTCTGCTAGGAATAGTTCCCTTCACATTTCACAGTGATGCCAGTAACACTGAAGAGGAAGGTTGGAGCTTGTCCTGGTGATCCAAAGGGCAAAGGTCAGAAGGGGAAAGATTTCAAATTCCTACAGCCACCGACATGTTGTCACCCAATCGCAGGGTACTTCAAGAGGAGAAACTTTTCAAACATCATTCAGAAGACGCAAGGTTTAAATGTAATCTCTCCTTTGGAGAAACATCGTATTGACTCACAGATTAATGCAGGCCAAGAAAACAAACAGTGGTCTTAAGCCCTAGAATCTTTCTGTTTATTTTTTGATTCCAAAAGTTGTGGTTTTGTGACGGATATTGCCATGTTGCAGCTTTGAAGTGGAGGGATCTTTATTAACAACTCATAACTTATGTATTCCTGAGGATTCAACCCTCATTGCTAGCAAGCAAATCCAAGGTTACGTAGATTGCTTAGAAAAGGGGACTTCCATGAAAAAAAAGTAGACAAATCTTCAAATGGAGTGGTCACCAGGTATGTCATTAACTGCACTTCACCAAGGTAACTGTCAGGAAAACTTGTTAAGTAAGAACAGTACAAGTTCTCAATTTGATGTTTGGTCTAAGAGCAGAGACAGAGTGACTGCAGTGATACCTTCTAAGAAGAAACTTAGCCATTCACTTTTTCTTAACGATAAAAGCTAGATATTTGCTCACCACAGTTTTTGTATAACTGCTTAAATATTCGCCATAATCAAACATTTAACATATGCTTTAATGTGTGTGTGCCCACGTGGACTTTTCTTGAAGTGCTGACGAGATGGAGAAGATTTTTTTTAAGTTTTCAATGCCAAATACAAAAATTGGTATCTTTTTTTCCCCATAAAAATGCATTATGTAAATCTTTCAAACAAATTATTTATTTACTTATTTGCTGCCACTATCTCTTTTGTTTACAAGAAATTAAGGTACTTTATTGACAAAGTTTATATATATATAAACAAACACTGCAAGGCACAGCTGTAATATTGTTGTAAATGTGTGGAAGTGTGGTGAATTCTGTAAATGTTTGTGGAGTTTGTATAGGATTTGTGCAGAAGATTTGTCTTGTGTAAATGTACAATCTTATCCACATTTCATGTGTATGGGGTTTGTGGTTAAGCCCGTTTCACAGACATGCCTGGATTTATCATTAACATTGTAACTTTTTTTTTTTTTGGAAAGAAAGGAATGAAACACAAATTGAAATATACTTTAACGGATGCATACGTGTACATGCAGAATTTGCCGCACTCGTAATTTGTGGTCACAGAATACATCAACTTTGTAAAGAACTGGAGTTGTCGATTACACCCCCCATTGTTTTTCATTGCTCTGATATGCACTATTGTCCCAGTGGAAATTCCATTATAAATTCCTTGGGATTGACGGACATATTAATGAATGTAATTTATCTGGCCGAATTCTAACACCAAGTACTTTAGTGATTACTGTTTAAGGTATTACCATGACAACCCATGCACTGATAATTTGCCAAAGTGAACCATGAGACTGCAGATTGTCGTGGTGGTGTGTGTGATGTTGATCGCAGCCACATTAACTGTATTAACAAGGTCATTTGTGAGAATTGTAGCCACGTGCTCTTGCTGAAAAATTCGGTCCCGATTATTAATTTTTTTTCGAAACATCGTACGAAAATGTTCTCAGTTTTTAATAAGCCTCTTTAAATGAACCATTTAATGCTGCGTGGAAGTTTGCGCCGCGGTAACTTACAGCACTCGCTGGATCAAAAAAAAGACATATTGTAGAAATGTATAGAAATGTCAGTACCATTTACGACTTGGTGCTTTGGACGGTTTGGCAGTTGGTCAGTTATTGTACCTTGGGTGGTCGGTAGTGTCTGTCACTTGTTCCACTGATACATCATATTTTGCTTGTTGATTGGCCGATTTTTTATTTATTATTTATTAGTTTTTTTTATGGGATTCCTTTCTGGCTGAATATAGCTACATATATTCCCCCTGGTTTTAAAACAAATCCAATGTAAGCTTCAAACTCCTCTGAAAGAGCCTAGCTTCAATTAAAACGACTTGGCAGACGTTTTCCGAGAGCTAATGTCACTTGTATCTGTGTGGTTTCCATGTTGTGTTTAATAAATAGCGTTGTCCCTCAGTCCCCCTCTAGGGTTGTATTAAATGAGTAGTTAAGTCGGGTACCCAATGGAATGAAACGGATAGCAGCTAAGTTACAAGAGGTTAGACTTCACTGAAACCCTGTACATGTACTGCTTCAGGCTAAAGTTCCGGTCGGAGGGAAAAGAGAGAGGCCATGTTGGAGCGTTCATCCAATTACCAACGGCAACATACGCTTTGCATTCCGTGTTTATTATTCCGAATTTAGCTTTGGGCTGGCTTGATTTGACTCGAAATCGGTCAGTCACAGCATGTACATTATGGATATCATTATAGTCCCGATGTTTAGGCCTTTTATGGTGTTATCCAGTGCTATGTGCTAAAAAAATGGAATTTAAATTGCCAGAAAAAATGTTTTAGCTGGAAATGTCCCCCCCTACATACATGATGTAGACGTTATTGTTTGTCTTCAGTTTTGAGCCAAAGTTTCGATCCAAAATAAACTTCGTTTAGTCTTCCAAGGTCAGTTTACCTTATATAACGACCGATACATAACATGGTATTGGATTTCAAATTTGCGTTTGTTGACGATGTTCTCTTGGGAGCCCAAGAGCTCACCAATATTGAGACTTCGTGTCCTCGGTTAAGTAACACACATGTTTGTGGTTTTCTACTATGTTGTGCCATTTGCGAATGGGTTGGTTTACTCGCTTGTTGCGTAGTGGAACAAGCCTCTTCATAGACTGTGGTGTATTTGTTTTCTTGCTTGCTTAAGCCTTGTGCTAAAACGGCTGTATAGGAGTTTGAACTTCTCGATTCCACTTGCTCCAGAAGAAGCTTCTGCAATTGCTGGGATGTCAACATTGGGCCAGGTTAGTACTCCGCTATATGTTGCGACCACCTTGCCAACGGAAGTCAAAGACGCTGAGGTGATAGGGCGTTTCTAAAATTAATTACATGTGATGTATCAATGCTAAGTTTACACAAGATCGGAAAGCTTCATTACTTAGGCCATGAATTACGCATGAGAAGTTTTGTTTTTCAACATTATTTTGACCGAGCTAGAAAGAGACTGATGTGTGTTTTCCTTTCTGGTTTCGCGTCAAGACTTACTGACTGTGTCTTTTTGTTTGGTTTTCCCATCTTCTCTGGAAAGTCATAATATTTGTCACTTCGATGAGTGCTGTCTTTTAAAAAATCAATTTGACCCTTCAAAACACTTCAATGAGGTGGAAGAAAGCGGGAGGATGAATGAAGGATCCTTTTGTGTTTGTCGTCCCGCGGACCTTTTGGCGCACTTTGCCTGCGTCTTAGGTGAGATTTTGATGAATCACAATAATTTGACCTACTTGACATAGACACGCGTGGCATGGGTGCAGACTCACGACATCATGCATTAATTATGATAATGACTTAACCATCAGGAACAGTCGAAATCACGGGTCGACAGTCTGCTTACAACCTACTCGACTGACGGAAGTGATTCCCCTGGCGCTAGATCAGGTAGGCATGGGTGCACGCTCTGCATCGCTTCAACACACAATTTTGCTGATATTTGTCTGTTGTGTCTTGTTTTGTTTTGCTGAGGGCAAAGTTCTGATAAGATGTGTTGTATTTTAATGCGCGCATAATTATACAGCAAGACGCAGGTTTTTTTCAAAATGGCGCACGTGTGACCGAATAGACATATTCGCGCTGAAAAAGCAGATTTCATTAATTTTGAGACTATAGCAGTAATTTATGCATGGTATTTTTTTGGAAACTGCTAATTCTCTGACTGTTCGGTTTTTGTGGGGTAATAATTTTGTGAATTATGCATGGTATTGCGTGTATGTCTTTTCACTTTATAAATATGGACAAAAAAAGCGAAAAGATAATAAAAACCAGAACTCCAATCTTCAAAATAACATGAAATTTATAGTCAAACCATGAGATCCTAGTTGTTATTCACAGGATATATCGAAACCTTGACCTTTCAAAACAAAAGATCTTTTTTCTATAGCACATCTGATGCTAATTTCTTTCCCTGGCTTTAAAGGTTTTCAGGAAAAAATATTGTACAAAATCTAAAATATTTTTTTTTTCACAACAGTATGAATAATATTTTGAAACCGTCGCTCGAGCACAAAGTCCCGTATAGTTCTTTTGGTCATTCCATCAACGTTTACTAGATGCTTCCATGTGACAATGTTCACTACTTCAGAGCGACATGGCCTCAGTTAATAATTTTGTCATACATTTAGCACAAAATAATGCCGATGGTCAAAGATGTCACTTCGGGCCGGGGATCGTAATACAGAGACTACATGTCAGATAAAGCCTCAAAGGTTCCACATTTTTGTAGTAAATCTATGCCCTGAGTAAACGCTTTCGTGGATTTTAACTTTATATTTTAATACCATAAAAATGCACACTTTACATGCGTTGGCAGATCTGAAAGGGAACTCGGAAGCAAACGGGACCATTCATTCCCCATAAAAGACACATTGAGCATAATGTGGNCTCGGAAGCAAACGGGACCATTCATTCCCCATAAAAGACACATTGAGCATAATAAGAAATAAACGATTTTGAACGATTTCATTTCCCTTTCTAAACCGACAAAAGTCTGTAAAAAATCTCCAATTTTAGCTTCAAACTTGAAAAAGCAACACAACGATAATTATATCTTCCATCTTTTGCCCCACCCAACTTGAACGTTCGTCCCCCTAAAATTTGGTTGAGGATCTGCTTTCGTTCGCTTGTTATAGGGCCTATACTCGAACGATATACCATCTTTGTCAAAACTAGAAACACTAAAAAGTGTTTAAATCCGAGGGAAGGCTCCAGATGGTTTATATTTAAATTCTTACTAGTATTTAGTTTATTAATAAAAATTACTCGCTCAGTTTGGCTCTAGGCCCCCCTAACGTTCGTCCCTCTAACTTTCTTTGATAATTTAAACAATGATGAAAAAAATGATCTAAGTGGAAGATCAGTATCATCAAGACATCCACTATCCAGCCAGTATTACGTTTATATCAAAGCTAAAATTCAACTATGGTCAGGTAAAAAAAATACATGTACCAGGGTTTCCCCGTGCAGGCAATAATGTCACATAAATTCTGTTCAGTATACAGTACTCAACATCACTTTCAATACGGTACTCACTGCAGTGTGGACATCGGCGATGACACTGCTCACTGCTTTCTCCTTTTCTCCCGTTCTCAGCTAAATGCCGGGACACGTGTATCTTCGTCCGTACTCTGCGTACATGTATATTTATGACATGCATGGTATTTCCAGTCACCATTTCAACGATATGCTACCACCCACGTGCTGAATTTTCCAATGCCGTCAGTTATTACCCGCCATGTTGAAAATGAACCACGTGACTGGAAGTGACCACGCAACTGTTCTCAAACAACGCGGAGTGCAGCCTTTAGCCTTTCGTGTTGTTGTAAACGGGCTTATAAGTCTTAAAAGGACTGCAAAATTTGCCGTTTGCGAACTGAAGAACGCTTGTAGGTTCAATTAAGCACCACAGACGAGTTCAGCATTTCAGTCACGTGATAATGTGTCAAACCAAGGCTGTGCTTGTCTGCGGACGGATACGGCTGTTTAACGTAACGTGTGCAGGGAAAAAAAGCCGTAGCCCCAAAAAAATATACCCAATTATGACATCGCCCTGCCCCTAAAGTGGCCACGGCAGCAGTGACTCGCGTCTAGTCGTTTTCACGTGCTTGGGTGTGGAACAGAAGGTTAGCAACTGAACGAGATGTCTCCTATCAAACAATACCATTCATTTACCCAAATCACATGATCCATTTTGAAAGCACGCCCGCACATATGAAGCAAGATAAGGCGGACAGAGAGAACCCCCCTTGCTTTGTGTTGGTCATTGTTTCACTGGAATCTGAGGAATTCTTTTCAGACATCTGGGGGGGTTGTGTGTTAGGTAACAATAGTCTATAGAGTGTGTATAGCGATTGGAAATGTTGGGGGGGACCCCTCACTCTCATTTTTGATGGATATACACCCGCACCGACTACTGGTAGGAAAATGAGGACCCTAGCAGACTGCTCTTTCCCTAATTTGCCAACTTGTCAAACTATATGTCAAACTATATCTCACCGTCTAAAACAAAAGAATAATCCACTGTGTTGTGTTCAAAATATTACGTTTTCAAAATACCTGAAAACCCACAAAGTTGCTAAATACTCAATGAAATTACAAACCCTCGATGGGGAGAATGTACACATTGAGGCAAAACCCTACACCAAGCAAAGATAGTGTATTTCTACAGACTTTGACCGACTGCCCACCAAGTGCGGATGGGGGGGGGCAAAGGGAACCCCCCCAAGATGATATTTTCCCTTAATATCTTCAAAGTGAAGGTATTAAGGGTCTTCTATGGAGGTTGTTTTGTATGGACAGAGCCATTTGTTCAGGAAACTTTCTGAGCAGCCACTTGATTGACGTTTAATTGACTTAACCATGGTGCGCTCAGTTAATGCGGAAGTGTACGGGGATGCTTACTTGTCCGCCTCCCCCCCCCCGATAGCGGGCAATACGAGAGCTCTATTGAATACTCTTGCACTGTCAATTTCGTGGAATTCGTAAGTTGTATTTCTGTTGCCGTCGTTGTTACTTGTTTTCATCGTTGTTATCATCAGCGTCCCATTTTTCCTGCGGCACACAGTCTAATTAATGCTCTCAAAATGCTTCCAATAGAGCCAGATGATGTTTATCTACCGACAGTTCTTCCCTTGCCAGCGTGCCTACCGTTGACCTCACCGATGCGCCTGCGGATGCTCTTGGCCTGTGTCTCTGGCCTGTCTCTATCGGTCGTGTTGGTAACCCTGTCGGTTGTGCGATATTTCTGGGATTTTCATGACCGTCACCAGTTGGGGCTCGGCTTGGCGGCCAGGACGCGGGACTACAGCGGCAGTGGGCTTTACGACGGGAGGTTGGAAAAGTTCATCCGCCGGGAGAGATGGACCGAGGTCAGGCTGAAGTGTAAGACCGTCTGTAGCAAGTAAGCGCATAGTTCATTTTTTTCTGTCCGTTTTTGGACACTGTAAGCCAGTTTATAACTTAAAAAAAAACCTAGAGTCCTGAGTTGAGGAACTTGAGGATGCAATGGTTTGAAGGTAATTACGGTGGGGAATTGATTTGATAAAATTATGACCAAAACGATCTCAGCGAAAAAAGGAAGCCAGAATCTCAGCGGGTTTGAAGCAGAGTTCTCTGATTTTTGTTTGTTTCATGTCGCATCCGTAACCCCCAACTCTACCGTGCTTGCTAATTTCGTGCCCTTGACAATCACATATTTTCCCAAGCATAAGAACCCCCCATTGTACCATTCACAGGATACCTAACGGGTTTTGCCCTTATCCGAAACCCGTAATTAAAATTAACATCTCTCCGACGCAAAGTACATCTTAAAAATTGTTAAATTCTGTTGGTCATTTGCACAGGCGATTAGGAGGCACCTGCGTCCCTCTTGACTTGGCTGTATTCGTCTATCGAGATGACGTCCCTGTAAGCGATCACACCTACAAACGTATGTATCCCGTAGTGCGGGTCCCAGTGACGAGAGAAACCAAATTTCCCCACAAGAAACTGAACACTGAAAAGTGCTACATGAAGGATCATTTTCCGGACACGAGGCTGATTGAGCGGCAGAGGCGTTGCGCTGTCGTGGGGAATGGTGGCATCCTCGTCGGCAGCGGATGCGGCGCAGAGATCGACTCCCATGACTTCGTTATCCGTGCCAACCTACCACCGTTACAGGGCTATGAATATGACGTCGGCAGAACGGCCAACCTATCGGCATTTAACACCCGAACGCTCATGAATTTCAACAGCGGATTAGCCGCCAATGCCACAGGCAAAGCACTTGACATTCTGGAGCGATTTTTACGATACTTTTCTGATCTCGGCGAAACGATATTATGGTATCCCAAGACTTTGCGCGAACCATATAATGAAATGTTTCGTCTGGTCACAAAATATCTGAAGTCAACCAGCAAACATACGAAGATTCATTATGCATACAGTTGGAAGCCCATACATGTAGAAAAGTAAGTGGTTAGTTATTTATCTACAGTGTATTCGGTGTACATACCGTCTCCAACACCACGAAGCAACACAAATCTATACATGTGTGCGCGCTTCAACGCGTATTTTAGAGAAATGTGATACATGTATTTTCGTTTTCACGAAGAGGCACAAATGTCTTGCGCCACGTGCTCCGAGATTTGCCGTATTCAGAAATTGACGTTCTCCTTAATTTACACAGTTACAAGTTTTAAGAGCATTAATTCTTTCAGTTGAGTCACCCATTTACGGGTAAAATAAAATCATTTTAGACATTTAAAGCTTTTTTTCCATGCTATATTGACAAAACACACATTTGTGCTTCTTCGTGAAAATGAGATTGTTCGATAATGCACGAGTGTTCAATATGCGCGCGCACACATCTGTGTCACTTCGTGAAACCAAAACTACTCCAATCGCGGTTTTCACGAACTGGCACAAAAGTGAAGATGTGTCAGTTCGTGGTGTTGGTGACGATACATTGTAGGCTATTGCTAGTTGGTCAGTCACGCAACTGACTGGTGTAAACTTATATTTAATCCCAAGTGTTGAAAGATATTAATGCAGGTAGATGCATTGATTCTAATGGCATTTAAAAAGGAACATTTTTTATTCAACGTCGATTCTACTCGAAGCACATGATGTTTTTCTCCAACAGAGAGTGGGCGTTGGAAGGTACTGGGACACTTGGCTTTGACACTTTCGCCGTGGCTAGGACCTTCTGTGATAACATCACCCTGTATGGCTTCTTCCCGTTCCATGAGGATCAAGATGGAAGAAAAATACCTCATCATTACTTTGAAGATATGGAATTTTCTTACAATGGAACAGTCCACAATTTTTTACTTGAGCATCAGAAGTTAAAGGAATTGGATACGAGGGGGGAAGTGCGATTAGTAACAAGTGCTTGCCGCGCATGAACAACAGTGACACGTTTCTGATGTTAAATTAAAGGCATCCGTTGACCTTACGTGTTATTCTAATTACAAGTTTTCCACTTTCACCTTGCACGTTTCTGTAACACTTGTTTTATTAGATCATGACACGGATATGCCATAGTGCTAGAATTAGCTTATACACTCCAAGTAATTATACACTAATGGAAGCATTTTAAACAGTGGCGTATCCAGCTGGGAGGCAGAGGAACCCCCCCCCCGAAAACAGCAAAGCAAATAAAAGGATGTCGGCACCGTGAGTAAAGCTTTTGACTTTCTTTTCTCGCCCAACATCATGTTGACTAAGCCCGAAGCCGCACTCGCTTTTGAATTTGTCCCCCGCCCCCCTGACGCCAAAAGCTGGATACACCACTGATTTCAAACTAAGTTATCAGTCTCAATCTGAAAGTAGATTTGGAAATGAAGAACACTGAACACATGGAAAAATCTTGTACAGATTGCTGAATCGCATTTCTTGCAGCATGCATTTTCTCAGTAACTTTTGTCCAACAGAAAATAATGAATGGGCAAAGCCAACGGCAGCAGAACGATTTTCAAAGTGGTGGGGGAGTGAGTTGTGAGAACATCCGGCATTAGCCATTGATAGATCAATATAGGTCAATCCATTGAGCCCCATCTCCTAACCGCCAGTCGGAAAAGTGTGTGGGGGGAGCCTGGGAAGGAGTGTCCCCCCCTTCTGCTGCCAGTGGGCATAACTGATTTTTGCGGAATTATAGAGTGGCAAGTAATTTCTTCTACGTTCTCAACTTTGCAAAAAGGAAGTCCTCATAAAATTATTTTCATTTTTGTTCCCACTGGTGCTATTTGCCTAAATTTCTCCCTGAAGGATCAATACCTTTACATTTTCAAATGAACCAATGACAATGTAGGCCTACCGCACCATCGTTTATCTCAGTGTCGGGTCTAATGCTGAATTCATTAACATCACACTGACAGACACTGCAATATTACGAGACACTGATGAACATAATACGGAACGCCATAGATGAAAGTCTATAATCCCCACACGACACTCACATAACATAACCGATCGACCAATTCAAGCTCCAATAATATGTGCATAGATTGATTAACGAAGGTAAAGCACTAATCATTCGTGGATTATCCGTTGAATTTGGCCCTACGGGGCATTTTTAATGTAAGTTGTTCCAAGTATAAGTTACGAAGGAAGGGAATTTAATGTGTGTTGCCTTTAAGCACAATGAGCTCAAACTGCCCCTTTAACAGAGCTTGTTTATAATGTGCAAATCACAGCGGTGCGACAGTGGCCCTCCACTAACCAAAAAATAGGTAGTGAGGCTGGTGGGTCTTCTTGTGTCGTAACTCATTCTGCTGTACAATTCATTCCTTAGTGAGATTTGAAGGAGGGTTGAAACAATTTTTGTGAGGAATCCTGGTCTAGACCGAGGGCAAATGGCGATGTGACCAAAGGGAGGTGGCCCATGAATAAGAAAGTTGACTAAGTTATACAGTCTTTCGACGTTGTGTTCAACGACCACAAAGTTGGTTATAATTTGTTCTTGGTCTACCTTGTTGAAGAAACTAATTGTTCATGTTTACAAGTTTTTCGTTGCCTTATCTATCCGTCTGGTGGATTAAGGAATTTCAGAACGAACCATGGACTGCAAAGTCGAGGAAAATAAGTGAAAAACAACGTTACATTTGTAGACGTAGTTCATCCGTTCTCGAGTTGTAAATTGTCCACACGTACAATGTACGTGGAATCCGAGCTGCGTGCACGCACTTTGCGTGCGCATTTCCATTGAAGGTCTGTTGCACGCCTGCTTCACGGAGGCCGTGACTGGTACCCGGCTTTGACCCGCGTGCCGTCGATAAAAAAAATTGCAGCCTCCCGTTTTTGTCGGATCGGGGGCTTCAAACTGACCAATTAAACCCCTATTGGTTACCCCTAAAATGTTCACATTTTGTTCTGCTTTATATTTTGGTTTATAAACATAAATTTGCGACACAACCTGCTATTTTTTTAAGAATAACCTCGGTTAGCGTAGAAGAAGGCTTTGTGTATGCAGGGTTCTTGTACGGGAATATGATCATCAACGATCTCTCTTTGAAGTGTTTAACATGTTTAATTTGTTCCGAGAGTTTTATTGGTTAAAGATGTATAAATACATCATGTTGTAGAGATCTGATTTTTATTAAAATGAAACAGTAACTTATCTTGAAAAGTAAGGAATGAAAAGAGGATTACATTGCGGGCATGATGATCGTGAATAGCAGGCGAGAGCGATGCCACACTGACCGGGAACTTTATGCAGAGGCAGTGTTGGCGCGCGCACGTGCGGTAAGTAGCGATCATGCACAAATCGTGCTGTTGATCGGCCTTTCCTTTTGTTTTTTTCGTAAACTAAACATACAATCAGTAGACTGAATTTGTATTTGGAAGCGACGAGTTGGAGTTTAGAGCAATGGGCAAAGAGCTAGACTGTGTCGAAGTTTTTAAAAATCTCCTAATTCATAATCATACTTTGGGGGGGGGGAGATGCTCTCTTAAAACCCTCAGCCTCACTTAGGCCAATATCAAACAGCGAGAAACTCTAATTCATATGTAGTTATTTGGAGTCCTCTGTAATAATAAGTGCCTTCCAATATTCTTGTCAATGTTTTTCACCAGTGAAGAAATGTCGCCGAACAGTTTTGCCAGTGGTCTTTAAATTCGTTGGCTTAGGAGGTTGACGTTTATGCTCATGCTGGAGCTCTGCCTGGTTATCGGGCGATGAATCCCCATCAATGTGCAATTTCAAAATACTCAATCTAAAAAAAAAATGATTTTTCACTTATGAATTCACTCAGGCCCAAGAGATCACTTGCCGTTATTGAACCAGTCTAGTTTACAGAAAAAAAACTTATCTGTGCCAGCACGTTTTGGAAAAGTTCTCCATCTCTAAAAGGTATTCGGTATAACTTTTAAAACGGGACAAACAGATATGAGTAAATTGCTCGCAACAGAAATGTGACAAAGCCTTGCTGGATTGAATACCCTCTCTCCTCGAGACGGAACTACCGCGAGTCCCTTGACTAAATCGAATTTTGTGAACATCTTTTGTCTATTTTAAGTCCACCTGTTAACACATAGTACATGCTAAAATGGCCAGGATTTGTTCACATCATAAATTTTAGCTTTCCCGTACTAGCCGTCGTAGACTCGGCTTGCATGCAGGTAACTAAGCCAACTGTCACCAACGCAGGCCACAGCCTCGCCGGCGGCCCCCGGCCCGATGTTGTGTGTACTCGGCATGGAGCGGAGATCAATGGTACTCGTGGGTGAGACCCACTGTGCCGTTGCGCGTTACGTGCTTTATGTGAGCGTTTTCGAAACGAGTGAAGTCGGTTAGACTTCAGTTTCGCTGGTTGCAGTCAGAACATGAAGTGTCGCTGTGCGTGTACGCAGGTCGGAATCTCGTACGCCGAATAGTTGCGCGCGCACACTGTACGAACTGCACTGGAAAACGGCTGAAAACAGTCCACAACAGTGGCAAGAATTAATGTTACGTCCGACTATATTTTCCCGTTTTTGACTTTGGGTGTGATGAGCCGAATTTCTTATCCCGCCGGCTGTGGAGATAAGGACGCATAGGAGTTAAAGACGTGAAATTGTCTCCTTGGAAAAGGTAGAATTGTTGAAAATTTTAGTTATAATGTTTTTCGCCAATTTTTGCCTTCCATTTCCTGGACTCCCTCCGTAACGTACGTAGTGCGGCAGTCCACCTGGGGTACGTTTGCTTGTACACATATATGTCAGTGTATGAACATTTTACAACGGTGTTACGTCTGGGTGTGCGCACGTATTTATGCGTGTGTACACGAACATGTACATTGTAAGCGTGTAGCGTTGTGCAGGCGTGGCATGCTAATGTGGACCTCTGACAAAACAAGTCCACGTATGTAGGGTGCGATGGCGTTGTGTGGACTCGCACACGCGTCCACACACTGCTTTCCCCTGTCTGAAAAACAGTTTCAGAGGCATTTTGGGGTCAAGGTTATCCGTAGCAAAATGAAGAGGAACTTTCCACGATCAAAAATCCAGCTCGATGGAGTTATCCTCGTTGGAGAGAAAGGAGCATTTTCCTCGGGTTCCCTTATTAAGGAGAACAAAGGAATGTCCACACTTTGTACGTAAAACAGGTCTGTGTGTCTTCACCCATAAAGTAAGACATTGTGCTGCAAATCTGATTGACACTTGTGCTGTTGCACCCAGTTTAAACATTACCTCCAACATAAAGTGCAAGATTTGTATTTAATGATAATTTGTATAGTGGCTTTTTTGTGTCTCAGGAGAACTTGGACCATTTTTGCCATGTCTGCTAGATCTTAGGACACAGCTGGTGACGGTTCTGTTTAAAACAGTTAGACCTAGGGGGCTAGTGGAGACTCGACCAAACCTGTCGAGGCTGCTGGGTTAGCTCAAAATAGGCCTAAATGGAAATGACTGGAGACCTTGTCCACTTAAAGATCTGCCAACCTTGCCGTACTCCTTCCTGAGGTCAGAAGCCTTCAGTTCATTTAAATTTTTAATCTAGCGTAGGCCTATTGTGTGGTAATGCCTGACCTCAGGAAGGAGTTTCCAAAACTTAGTCTTTATGTTACAATCATACGTAAAACCAAGACTTATATAAATTTATGTAATGCCACTAGGAAACTTAACTGTCACTCCAAGAATCTTTTCATAACTCAACAAATAAACCAGATAACAGCCCAGTGGGTCTGTTTTTGTGTCTGGACATCAGCCCTGCTGCTCCCTGACCTTGCCATAAACATCCCACCCAGTTGATCAGACACTTGGCAATCAACTTTATCTAGTTTGGTCCCCTATTTGGATGTACTACATTGGTTCACTCTATTGTCAATATGTGTGCAGTGAAATATTTTGGCTGCAGGGCACTGCGATCTTGTCAGGTGTTGTGATTTGGTCTGTTCACAGCATGCCTTCACTATTTCCAAGCAGGTGTTGAACATACCGTCGAAAATGGTCTAAAGTGTGAAATGGGATTTGTATGTATTTGGACCTTGTTTGTATTTATAAGGGTCATTCCATGAGGTTGGGGCACAATTTGTGATGGTGTCAATTGTTACATGGGTTCCATAAAAATGAACAGCTATTTCCCTGCCTGTGGATTCCAAATTGACATTGGTATACATCTTGCAAGGCTGAATACAGAGGTGTGTGTTATTTTTACAGAGTAAATGACCTACTCTACAGGTCATGACAGGTTGTAAAACTTACCCATGTAACAAGGACACCGTCACCCCAACCTCATGGAATGACCCATAACCTATAGAACAAGAAAGTTCTAAACTTATGGACTCGCCAAGTAAGTAATGATGAATTCATGTTTAATAACTGCAGGTTTAATTGTGCAGAAAGAGAGCAGGGTTTTTGAGGGTTGGGGTAAG